TTGCTCCAGTCTGGCTGGCTGTAACTCTTTGGTTACATTGCTCCAGTCTGACAGGCTGTAATTCTTTGGCTACATTGCTCCAGTAAGTGCTCCAGTCTGACTGGCTGTAACTCTTTGGTTACATTGCTCCAGTCAGTGCTCCAGTCTGGCTGGCTGTAACTCTTTTGCGACATTGCTCCAGTCTGACAGTCTGTAACGCTTTGGATACAGCTGCTCCAGCCAGTGCTCCAGTCTGACTTGCTGTAACTCTTTGGTTACGTTGCTCCAGTCTGACAGGCTGTAACTCTTTGGCTACATTGCTCCAGTAAGTACTCCAGTCTGACTGGCTGTACCTATTTGGTTACATTGCTCCAGTCATTTGCTCCAGTCTGACTGACTGTAACTTTTGGTTACATTGCTCCAGTCTCACTGGCTGTAACTCTTTGGCTACATTGCTCCAGTCTGACTGACTGTAACTCTTTGGTTACATTGCTCCAGTCTGACAGGCTGTAACTCTTTGGATACAGCTGCTCCAGTCAGTGCTCCAGTCTGACTGGCTGTAACTCTTTGGTTACATCCCCCCAGTCTGACTGGCTGTAACTCTTTGGCTACATTGCTCCAATCTGACTGACTGTAACTCTTTGGTTACATTGCTCCAGTCATTGCTCCAGTCTGACTGGCTGTAACTCTTTGGTCACATTGCTCCAGTCTGACTGGCTGTAACTCTTTGGCTACATTGCTCCAGTCTGACTGACTGTAACTTTTGGTTACATTGCTCCAGTCTGACAGGCTGTAACTCTTTGGATACAGCTGCTCCAGGCAGTGCTCCAGTCTGACTGGCTGTAACTCTTTGGTTACATTGCTCCAGTCTGACAGGCTGTAACTCTTTGGATACAGCTGCTCCAGGCAGTGCTCCAGTCTGACTGGCTGTAACTCTTTGGATACATTGCTCCAGTCTGACTGGCTGTAACTCTTTGGTTACATTGCTCCAGTCTGACTATCAACTATACTATATATGTATCAACTATACTATAAATGTATCAACTATACTACATATGTATCAACTTTACTACATATGTATCAGCTATACTATATATGTATCAACTATACTACATATGTATCAACTATACTACATATGTATCAACTATACTTCATATGTATCAACTATACTATATATGTATCAACTATACTACATATGTATCAACTGAGATTGCCCAATTATTTGTTGTTTCAAATTAAACCTGATATCATGATCTGATATCGTACAATAAGCTCATATACATTTACTATCTTAAGTAAAATGCTGTCGTTTATATTTACAGGTAGGTGGCTGGGGTGGTGGTGGTAAACCCAAAATATAGAACTTTATGAGACTGGTGGCCCTAGCTATCGGGAATTCTCTAAGCCAATCAAACAGTGGTTAGCTAACATGTGACCAATCACTCTCACCATTGACCGATCAGGCCCTGGTCATGTATACGGTCGATCAGGCCCTGGTCATGTATATGGTCGATCAGGCCCTGGTCATGTATACGGTCGATCAGGCCCTGGTCATGTATATGGTCGATCAGGCCCTGGTCATGTATACGGTCGATCAGGCCCTGGTCATGTATACGGTCGATCAGGCCCTGGTCATGTATACGGGTGATCAGGCCCTGGTCATGTATACGGTCGATGTTCCTATATGAAACCCCTACTGATCATGATTGTCCCTGACGTACATATATATACACACTGTTCAAGTGAATGCTGCTAACTAGTCCATTGAGGCTTGACTAGTAGTTAGTGTCCATTTAAACCTGGTTTATATACATATAAGCTTCAACATTTTAAAAACACATTTGATGCATTAAGAACAATATAAAAGCTTGTATATCTACATCCTTATATATGTTTGGTTTTATAAACTGTAAATGATAGATATCCTGTAGAGTAGTGAAAAATCACAACCGGGATCGCTATTCTAAACGTTTACTGAATCGTTCCGGATGAAGAAGGCGCCCGGACATAATCCAATAACATTTTGTAGAATGACTCTATGTACAAATGTGTAATGAAATTTTTGTTTAGAAATGTTATTTACAACCTCATAAATAAATAAAACCTGTTCCACTAAAGGAGCCGTTTCCTCAATCTTGTCAGAGACTTAATCAAAATGGAATAAAAAAACGATGTAAGTGAAACAAATTTCTTTTCAAAATTTATTGATTTTTCTTGGCCTTGAGACGTATAGATTTCCTACAGATGTAAATACATCGTACACTTTTTCTTGCATGTGTAATTGTACTGGAGATTTAATAAAATAAGCTGCCTTAGTAATCCAGGATCGTTTTCTTAGTCTGCCCAACATTTCCTGAGTAGCATACAAACTTCCTTGTGACATGAATTTTGTTTTCCCATGAATGAACCTGTAACCAAATTCAATTAAAGCATTAAAACATTTTATTTCAGTGAGCTTGTTTTTCTATATTTTTATGATTGAATCAGATTTCAGGTTTAAATGAATACAAAGATTTTCGTAAATGACTATTTAATCCAAGTTTATAAGCTAGGGCTTATGATATTCAAGATCTTGTCGTTCAAGGACACCCTAAGCATTTTTTTTTTTTTTCAACTATTGTAATTTCATAACCTAAATTCCATATAAGGATTCAAGCTCATCAATTTAAATCTTGGTGACTAAAAGGCGGATTTTGGAAAACTTGACCTTGATGTTAAAAATAGCAAAAGACAGGTAAAGAATCCTTAATTAAAACACGGCACTCAAATATCAAAAAGTTCCATAAACAACAGAAGTGACCAGATCCTCTACAGTAAGGACTTTGTTGCATAATGTGAGAAAAACTTTTAAACTTATTAACTCATTCACCCCTGAAGACACATTTGAACTCTTCCAATTCAAAGGATGGAATAGTTCATTATGAAATTTCAGGGGTGAATGGGTTAATATTTAAACCTACTTAGAGACCACCTGTGTTAGAGGATCACTTTTAAAACTTCCAATTACAGCCCTTTTTATGTCAATTCAACGGTTATTTAGAGACCACCTGTTCTAGGAAAAAACTTTAAAAACTTCCTATTTTGCCGTTTTTATATTAAACAAACCTTTATTAGGGACCATCTGTTCAAGGATATCACTTTTAAAACTTCCTACTTTTCCCTTTTTATGTCAATTGAACCTTTATTAGGAAAACACTTTTAACACTTCTCATTCTGCCCTTTTTAGGTCACCTGAGCTTTACCTCAATATATTGTATTGCTATCTGTCTTCATATCTGTTGTCGTATGTCGTCCATTGTCCGTTGACATTTTACATTTTCAACTTAAGCTGAAATACTGAAGAAGGGATTTCATGGATACTTCATGGGAATGTTACTGACATCTCCCTGACCAAGTGGTGTTATTTTTCAGGTCCATCAGAAATCCAATATGGCCGCCACAGCCACCATTTTGGAAAACTATTTCAAACTTAAAATAAAGTTCCAATGAGCTGATTTAACAGGAACGCTGTATGAATGATTGACTAATGGCCGCCACGGCTGCCATTTAAAAACACTATTCACTAGGTCAAGGTCACCGTTACTATTTATAAAAAATTGTCAAACAGTGAGATACATTTTCTGTGGCAAAGGGTATTCATGTACGTGTTACGCACTTCTCTAGTTTTACTCAAACTTGGTGGTGATAATTGACTGATTGACCTCACACTGGTGAAATACATTTTTTTTGTATGACAAATAATGTACTATTCTCCTTAATTGACATCATTATTTCAACAACAACAAAATACTGTAAGACTCAGGTGATCATTAAGGTCCATGGGCCTCTTGTACTTAAAATCCGGTGACTGTCACACAATCTGTAGTCTAGACATTTTACTTATAATCCTGTGAATGTCACACAATCCGTAGTATAGACATTTTACTTGTAATCCTGTGAATGTCACACAATCTGTAGTCTAGACATTTTACTTACATTTATAATCCAGTGAATTTCACACAATCTGTAGTCTAAACATTTTACTTATAATCCTGTGAATGTCACACAACCTGTAGTCTAGACATGTTACTTATAATCCTTAGAATGTCGCACAATCTGTAGTCTAGTCATTTTACTTATAATGCTGTGAATGTCACATAATCTGTAGTCTAGACGTTTTACTTATAATCCTGTTAATGTCACACAATCCGTAGTCTAGACACTTTACTTATAATCCTTAGAATGTCACCCAATCTGTAGTCTAGACCTTTTACTTATAATCCCTTGAATGTCACACAATCCGTAGTCTAGACACTTTACTTATAATCCTTTGAATGTCACACAATCCGTAGTATAGCCATTTTACTTGTAATCCTGTGACTGTCACACAATCTGTCGTCTAGACATCTTACTTATAATCCTGTTAATGTCACACAATCCGTAGTCTGGACATTTTACTTATAATACTGTGAATGTCACACCATCTGTAGTCTAGACGTTTTACTTATAATCCTTAGAATGTCACACAATCCGTAGTCTAGACACTTTACTTATAATCCTTAGAATGTCACACAATCCGTAGTCTAGACATTTTGCTTATAATCCTGTTAATGTCACACAATCCGTAGTCTAGACACTTTACTTATAATCCTGTCAATGTCACACAACCTGTAGTCTAGACATTTTGCTTATAATCCTGTTAATGTCACACAATCCGTAGTCTAGACACTTTACTTATAATCCTTAGAATGTCAAACAATCTGTAGTCTAAACATTTTTCTTATAATCCTGTGATGGTGTAGACAGGGAGGATGTACTGTGGGCAGTGTTTGGGTATGACCAAGTCAAACTACTACAGAACAGCAGTGTGTGACACATGTAACCAAACATCTAGTATTTTTAGTTACCATGGCAATGACATGGAAATTAGAGACAAAGGAAACGTATCACGATTACAAATCAACTACAGATTGTGTGTCATTCACAGGATTATATAAGTAAAATGTCACACAATCTTTAGTCTAGACATTTTATTTATAATCCTGTGAATGACACACAATCTGTAGTTGATTTGTAATCGTGATACGTTTCCTTTGTCTCTGATTTCCATGTCACTGTCATGGTAACTAGATATACTAGTTGTTTGGTTACAGGTGTCACACACTGCTGTACTGTAGTAGTTTGACATTGATACACCCAAACACTGCCCACAGGACATCCTCCCTGTCTACACCTACAGCCCATGTACAGTCTGTGTCTGTGTGTATGACCCTGAGGAACTCACCACCTCCACTGATGAGTAGGACCCTGTAGTTGTTATAGTCCCCTATGATCAGGTTCCCCACACTGTCATACACCACACCCCAGGGGTAAAATGGTTCACTTTCTGTTTGTGGTGTTGGTTTATATGTACTGGGGATGTCACCTCTATATACAAACAGCTCCTTGAAATCAGTGTCCATCACAACAACATGTTGGTTTCCATCACCACCATCACTTTCACTACTGAAATCAACGACTGCCAGGGTGTGAGTGACAGGACACTCTGAGATCCTGTGTGGTGAACACACTAATGGTTTCCCAGTCCCTTTAGCCATTGTAGTACACACCATTTTACCATCTGTGGTAAATTTGGAGATGTGTTTGGCCATCCCTACAATGACATGGTTACTGGCTGTAACACATATACACTTGGGAAACTCCTTGGTTCTGAATCTGTGTGTCAGGCGTCCTGATACCAGCTCCATGATGTTGTTTTGTTTATCACAAACCCACAGTGTGTGTGTGGTGAGTGACAGACTGATGTCATTGACCCCGGCACTGTGTCTGACCTCCTGTATTACTTTACCCTTCCTGTCCAGGAGAGTTAATGTGTCACTGTACTGGGTCCACACCTGACCATCAGTGGTGGAACATATAGAATATATGCCACATGGAGACTCCCACTCCTCCACTACCTTGGTCATTGGCAGTAGTTTGTATGTTTTCACTGCTTTCTTCACTTTTGCTCCTGACTGTTGTTGTTGTGAAGATGTTTGTCCCAGATCATGTGATGTTTTGACTGACCGATCCTGGTCAGTTAGAATTTGACCTTGACCTGAGGTGATAACCTTTCCGAAGGCTTCTTTCAGGTGATCTTGAGGATTTTCGTTTGGTGTGAAGTTGGCAGTACCCAGGACAGGTTTTACAGGGAGACTTTGTGTAGGAGAATGGATCTCACAATATGTATCATAAATCTGTAAGTGTGAACCACGCTGGAGAGCTGCTTTACATTCCTGAATTTGTTGTTTGAGTTGTTTCTCGTACATCTCCAGGTCCTGTTTGTATTTCTTTATGAGGTTTGTATTATCCTCTTCCATTTTGCGATAAAGGGAGAGTGTCTGTTCTGTAAGCATGTCCAGCTGTTGTTTTAACTGATCTGTTTGCATTTTTAACTTTTGTGACAGCTTCTCAAAAGTACTGGTGTTGTCTTTAAGGAGAGTATCAGTAGACGCTATGTATTTCTCAATTTGCACAAGGTCATTTTTTTCTGTTCTGTCTATAAAGTTTTTAATGTCTGTTTCTTTCTGGGGAGTGATTTCACTTAGCTCACTAACTGGATGGCTTTTGTGAGTAGAAGAGAGGCATTTTAGACAAACCAGTTCCTGACATTTTTCACAATACAAGTCTAGCTGTCTTCCCCTGTGGTGTATACATGTTGTTTGACCTTTAATACGGAGAGGTATTTGGCTTATAGCGGTTGCCATTTCAATAAAAATCTAAAATATTTGTTGAAATCTTGAAGATGTTTGTTGTTCTTGTATAAATATATACTATTATCGGTAAATACTCACAAATTAGAGTTTGTTTTGTAAAGAAATGAAAACTTGACTCTAATGTCCCATCCAGTAGTATATATGTTCGTTAAACTTTTAGTAATGTGAAAAATAATATGAAATAACTTAGTACCTCACGATTATTGATGTCACAGGGTTACTGTGATGACGAATCCAAGTTTTCCGTTCCACACCTTCGAATAATCACTGACTTTGTCAATATTTCTCCAGCCCTAGAATTCACAATCACATGATGAACTTCCCTCTAGCTTTGCTGATAAATCTGTCACTTTCCTGCTGACATTTTAAAAGTTTGATCACACATTAAAGTAAAAAGTTCGGCTGAATTTGACAATCCTGTTGATTAGTTAGTAATATCAACAATTCTGCTCTCGATATGCCAATTACTGCGGCAATGCGTAGATCTATCTGTTTAGACCTGCAGGTGTGCAGACTAAAAAACTTCCCTGTTGAGCCATGGTTACCAACAGATCAGTGGAGGTTGTGTTTAAAAAACCTTAGAATTGACATACAGAATCTGGCATGTATTATCTAAAATGTATGTGTATTCAGTAATGTGATACCTCTACCTAAGTTAAATATACCTGTGTAGTCTGTAAAAATACATACCTGTACTGTGGGTAGATATACCTGTGTATTGTGTAATAACACATACCTGTACTGTAGGTAGATATACATGTGTATTGTGTAAGAAGACATACCTGTACTGTAGGTAGCTAATATATAGATATACCTGTGTATTGGGTAATAAGACATACCTGTACTGTGGATAGATATACCTGTGTATTGTGTAATAAGACATACCTGTACTGTAGGTAGATATATCTGTGTATTGGGTAATAAGACATACCTGTACTGTGGGTAGATATACCTGTGTATTGTGTAATAAGACATACCTGTACTGTAGGTAGATATA